AAGATAATTATCACATTGGACGCCACATTACCAAACCCCATTGGGAGAAATTCATTGTAAGACTTGGGTATCAAAGTACGACCTTAATTTTACAAGTCCACAATTAGGGGCCCATGTTTCCAAAGTTCTACAATTGGAGGCTTGAATTTTACAAATCATTCTCAAAGTAAGATCTAAATGAATACTCAAGCTTTATTGTTATATTTCCCAATTGATATATATATATATATATATATAAATGATTGACTAAAATGACCGATATTAATTAAAATTAATTTAATTATCAACAATGAAGCTTCACCCATTTTTGTGATGTTTTTATTTATTTTATTATAAATATGATAAAGATAAAATGCATTAGAGTTAAATAAAATTTAAAAGTGATTAAAACTTGCTCATCGGGAGAACTTCATTGTAGGACTTGGATATCAAAGAAGGACCATAAGTTTACAAGTTCCCAATTAGGGACCTAAGTGTCCAAATTTTTGCAATTGGAAGGCTTGAATTCTCAATCTTTATTGTTATATTTTTCCAATTGCTAAAAAAATATTGACTAAAAAGATCGTACTAATTAAAGTTAATTTAATTATGAAAAATGAAGCTTCACCCATTTTTTTAGATGCTTTTATTTATTTTATTCTAATATGATAAAGATAAAATGCATTAGAGTTAAATGAAATTAAAAATGGCCCATCGGGTGAATTTCATTGTAGGACATGGGTATCGAAGTAGGACCTTAATTTTACATGTTCTCAATTAGGAAAATTTCCAAAATTTTACAATTGGAGGCTTGAATTTTACAAATCATTCTCAAAGTAAGATCTAAATGAGTTATAAAGCTTTATAGTTCTATGTTCCAATTGCTACAAATATTTTATTTTTATTGAATAAAAAGATCGTACTAATTTAAATTAATTTTTTATGTGGTGGTGAGACTTTTGTTTATATTTTACGTAACAAGAAATAAATTATTGATCTAAAAATTATTGATTAAACATTTCAAATTTCTTCAATCAATTATTTTTTCAATCTAATCTTTTTTTTTTAATTTTTAGAAATTAAATATCAATTATTTGAGATTGAACTTTTCAAAAATTTACAACAAATTATTCAACTTCTACTAAACTAAAATTTAATTTGATTTAGAACATAATTAACTAATATGGTTATATATTAATCACTACAAGAATAATTATTAAAAAATTAAAAAAAAACTATAAAATTTAAAATATTTTTTGAAACGCCTATGTGAGTAAATTTTCTAACTATGATTTGTTTTTCCTAATTAGTTTCTATATCATTGTCCACTTTTTCTCATTTCCATTTTTCTTATTAAGTTATCCATTGTATTTATAAATAATATTAATTAAATTAATCTTTATTTTATGATTTTCAATTTGTATGAGTATGTATAAATAAAAAAATAATAGTTTCTAATGTAGTAATAAGTTTATCAGTTAACATTACATATATAAAACGAAATTAGACGTATTATTTAATGTTGATTTAGAATAAGGAATTAGTCTTAACCTATTTATACAATAAAAAAATATAAGTGTATGTAATAAAGTATACATAGAATAAAATAATGTAAAACAGTGATTCATGTGTTTATCCTCATGTGTTTTGAAAAATTGATTCTAACAAAATATAAATATATAAGTACACAATTATTTTGACAATCAAGTATATACAAAATGGTAAATCATTGGGGAACAACCATATAAATTATTAGATTGTAAACAATCATAATATTTATTGTTAGTATGATAAACCAATGATATTTGTCGAATTATCATGTAAATTATATAATCTAGAAATAAAATCAAAATATTTAGAATATATATTGTTACATATTATGATGACAACCCAACGGATTATTTGTTGAACTATGAACTATTCATGCAAATTATTACCTTAGAAACAAAAAGTATCTTTTATAATGTACATTGTTATAAATTATAATGATAAACTAACAAGTAATCTGTCGAACAACGATGTAAACTGTTAGCTTAAAAAAAGTTTAAAATGTTATTATAATGTATATTTTCATAAAATGTAATCATAATCAACATTTGTCGCATTGTCATATGAATTATTACCTAAGAAAGAAAAATCAAAATATTTATAATATACATTATTAAAAATTGAGGAAATATGTTAAAATAATTTGACGTGATTAGAAATTAGTAAGATTTATAAATTTAATATAATATAACTACATTCTTTTTAAATTAAGTTTCAATTTAAAGTATTTGCTTTATTTTTTCAACTTCACCATCATTTAAGAGTCAAAATAATATATTGTAATAAGGTATGAGTAAGGGAAGAGAGAAATATTTCTGTGAATTTTATTTATTTATTTACATATTATTTTTTCTTTTTTTTTTT